GGATTGCGGTTTTTGTACACCACGCCGCTACCATGCGGGTCAGGCTTTGTCAAATCGTGGAACGCTATTCTTTGTTATAAAGATTATTGTACTACGATTTATTTAACACACAGTTTGAGCTCAGACAAGTGTGAAATATAAATATAAATTTGCACAACCCATGCCGGTAACTGGTCGTATTGACTTTGATACAAGGACATGGCGTTGAGCCCACTTGAAATGTGTTCCAAACCCCATTAGATAAGTTCCTATCTGCTATGCCGATGTAAGTGCCACTGCAACCATATTGTCTAAATATCGAATCCCGCTGTCATCCGATTATCAACGTTGATAAACGGAAAGTCGTGAGCTTCGATCCAGACGCATGCACAACAACTAACCTTTCAGTCCTTGTTTTACTGTACTTGTCAACAAATTCCTCGGGATAACCATTTTCATCAATGCTTTACAAAAAAGGCTCATATCACTTGATATCACGCGATCAGAACAAACTCGTCAAACAAGACATGAACAAGATTTCCTTTATGTAATGCTGTAACAAAACGTCCTCAGTGCATGTAGTGATCTGTCAGGTCTACTCTACGAAAGACTGATTTTGACAAAGTTTCATCTGGCATTTCTCGGGGAAACTCAGACTACTGTTTTGATCAGTTTCCGTGCTGAACTAAACTTTCGCATTTACGGTCGATAAGGGTCTTCGAGGCTGTTCTCGGCGCATTTTTTATTGTACCTGACAATAAGAGCATCATTGAAATATTATCTGCATAATGAATGTATCTGGTTCCAGCATATGCTGAGCTCGGGTCATTAAAACATCCGCTTAAACGGGCCGCAAAGGGCTTCTCATGGCTACATTGTCGAATGGTCTGGATAACTTTTCTTTGGACTGTACATGAAACATTTGCAGTGAGCATTAGTTATAAGTATACTCAGAACGGAGGCCGGCAGACCTGCTTTCAATTTTCCGTCGTCAATGGGATTATAAATGGTTGAAACCATTTCTGTGCAGTTCGACCCCCGTGGATCGGTTAGCAACACACCAAGGTGACTAAAAACGTGAGATAATTTTCTCGTCGTCAGTT